TTTTGGGGCTTTTGTTCGAGTGAATAAGCATTTCGGGGAGTATGATTTTTGAGTTCTTCGAATTAACGAGCTGTGGACGTGCACGGCATTTCTCTGGCCCCAAAGAACTGAGAATAAGAAGAATTCTGAGTAATTTATTATACGCTGTGTTGTGCGGTAAACTAGTTTAGTGACGCCTCGTAACAGTTCCTGGGAAAGCGGTCAGCCCTGGCTAAACCCCACTACATTCCATCCTCCGAGCCGCGGACTTGCACGTGTCCAAATTGCAGGCACGCTCTGTACCCCCTCTGATAGGAGAACACTTTCGGAGGGCTCTTAAAGTGCCATAAAGGCGATTCGAGTGCACCTATCTAGTGGCTGGTTTTATTGGTCCGCTCCGCTCGCATGTAATTGCTATTATTTCCACTGTCTAGAGGAGGCCTTCCTAGAATTATGGCCAATACTTGGCGGCTTTCCCCGGAAAAACCAAGCTGCCGCTACCGCCTGGCTTTCCCTGAATGAGTAAGTCGGTAATAGTAGTTGGCTTCTCGAGGGGTTTTAATCATTGAACGCAATTTAATAGAGGTCTCTCAGTTTATGATGTAACCTGGGCAGCTGGCCACGATTCGGATCTCTGGAACCGTTTCCCACACAACGCCAGTTTAGAACTCCAATTACAACCGGAGACCAGAGGCGGTATTACACAAAACCCGATTCAATAATAAATTTTTAAGCACTTTTAGTTAGCGTAAAACGGTTTGGCTTCTTGTTTTCATATTTCAGTTTCAGTAAATGAACGTTAATTTAAGGGGAAACTATTAGTTTAAGTGTATATGTAATTGAATTTCAGGAAACTAAAGAGGGTCCTAAGAGTTACCAGGAATAGGTAATTTAAATGACTTGAGAAATCAGGGAATTTTAAAAGTTTGCAAAACGAATCGAAGTTCTTTTTCCCTTAGAGAAATTCAAGCCCCTCCAAGTCCCGTTTCAAATGGTTTTTCGAATCCATTTCTCCAGCTTTCTTGGCAAGTGTCTCTTCAAAACTTGGCTATACTGTTTCACATTTCCCGCACACAATCGCCCAGTGCGAAAGAAAGATAAAAGACCTACGAAAGCGGCTTCGATTGCTCGGCGCTTGTTCAAGTTTAATTGGAAAACGCAAAACGCAATATTTGCTTACGCCTGAGCCAGGCCTGGGATCTGGGATTGGAGTTGCCATGATTCGGAGAAGGCTGGAAAATCTAGGGAAAAATCTAGAGGAAAAAACGAGCAAAGGAAGGAAGGTACCAACAATCAATAGATCAAAACTGCACACGAGGCGCAGTGCCTGTGCATCCAATTGCAATCATCGAGAGTCGAGAGTCGAGCGGCGCAAGGAGCAAAATATGGCCAAGCCAAGGACGAGAAGGAGCAAGGAGGAGAAGGAGGCTAAAACCAACAGAGAGTAGCAGAAAACTGGCTCAGAACCTGAACCAGAGCCAGGCGATGACTAAACAAAGTTAGACAAGATTGTGCAACAAACAAAACAGAGGCAGCAAAAACTGCAGCGCGCCTGCATTGTTCTCCACCTGCCAATCCAGAGCACCCTGCCCCGCCCCCCGCCCAGCCCACTCACCTGTTAGTGGCAGCTTGTTGGCACTGCCACTGCCACTTCCACACAGGGAGCCAGGGAGTTGCCCGGCGAGTTGCTAGTTTGCCAAGTGCCAGTGGCCAGTTGCAAGCTGGATTCTGGCGGATTTCTTGCCGGTTTTCTAGTCTCTGGTTTCCAGTTGGCCCGCTGCGCGATGTGATTGTGTGCGGCATAATTGCATGCGATTATGCTGACCGCTCAGCTGTGCAGTTTGTATCGGGGGGAAGCACTGGGAGCTGCCGGTTCACACTTGCCAAGAACTCCTTGAAGCTATAGGGTTAAAGTTTACTAATTAGTACTATTTTCGCTTTGATTAAGGCTTAGCAGCGTATTAAAATTAAAGGCAACATATTAGTTACCTTAACAGAAACAATTATGGTCTCAATTTCGATAGTATCCTTACCTAATCGGGAGATTGCCCTCTGCCCAGGTACATTCTAATTCCAATTTCGGGGCCAAACGAGGCGAATAACGACCTGCATTTGGCCAGCATTGATCCGATTAACTTGCTGGACATAAAGTTTGTTGTGTTGTCATGGCAAAACCCATCAATATGGAGGCGAGTAGATGCAATTTGGAGAATTTCATCAATCAGAGGACGCCGCTTGCATTTCATGCTGCAAAACGAGCCCGTTAATGAACAAAAAGGACCCGTACGAGGGGAGTATCCTTTGTCAAAGCTGCATCGCATCGATTGGGGACTCGCCTGTATGTATGTTGGTTAAAAATAAAAGGCCAGAGCTGGACTGTGTACGGTTACTGCTCTGGTTCCCAATCGAATCCGATTCTCAGTCCCCCCGAAATCCAGTCCGGTCCGTCTGTCAATTTCAGCTGCTGCTGCGGCGCCCAAAAAATTTGTTTTTAGTTCGGCTTTCGCCCGGCAATCCTGTGTCCAGCCGGCATATTTTATATCACCTCTGTGGCCGGTCGCCATTTGCACAATTTGTTTGGGGCTCCATCCAGTCCACAGTCTCTATCCCACTCCCAGATGAACACATATTTCCCCCTTTGACTGGGAGAGAGACAGAATCGACTTTTGGCCCGGCCACTAATCGAAAAGTTGTGCAACGCTCGTCGCACTTTAGTAATTAAACTTCGACGACTCATTTTATTGCCGCTCTCTAATTATTTATGCATACATCAGCGGCGACTGACAATTTATCACGCAATTTAATGCATATTTAAATGCAGGCGCACTATAAATCGAGCAGCGCATATATGCACACACTCAAAATTGAGAGATATCCGCGGGATAACCCCTGGCCTCGGAGCCAGGCATAAATATTATAAATACATTCCGAACATTGCCCCCACCATTAAGACCGAGAGATACATGACTTCACGGTGGCATTATGGGCGATAAGCCCTGGGTTGATACGAAGGAACCCAGGAACCCTCAGATAACCCCGAACTTATTGGCTGACTAAGAACATCTCTACACTGACTTTGAAGATAATTTCTATATTTATTAGGTCTTGGTGGCGTTGTAATCTTGTGTCAGTACTTTGATTTTGAGTTCAGAAGTCCCCAGAGGTCGATTTCGGTTGACATCAAAAACTTGAAGGACCTGTGCAGCGAAGAAATAAATATTAGCTTAAAAAACCCCTTTCTTACTAAGAGTTCTTCTCCTGGCAGCATATCTACTAGCTTAGAGTCTCTTTTCGCCACTCCAGTGCGTGTTAATACCCTTGTAAGTACAGGGACTCACTCCTGGACCGACAACAAAGTGTCCTGCAGCATTCCCAGAAGCCAAGCATCGCCTAGCCTCGCCTCGCACACACATGTGCCGCAGGACGTCTGCTTGCTATTTTTACTTGCTGGCAGGAGACGGGGAAAAATAGTGAAATGGAAACAAGTCGAACAAGTTTCCGACACCTCGAGAAAACAATGCCAGCAGCTCGCAGTTGGAGCCACTCCAAGTCGGAGGCACTAACTTTGTTTCTTTTGTCACAAATGGGGATGGGATTCGGACTCTCCTATGTCCCCTCTATGTACCCGTCCTAATGAAAAAGTTCTTATGAATAATAAATGCATTAAAGAAAGTTCCCACATACAAACAAAAGTTTCATCTGCGGGCAGGATGAAGAACCAGAGAGCAAGGAACAGGCCAGGAAGAATGTTTTATGGGCGCGGGAGGCATTCATAAATATTACATTTTGCGTCGCTCTTCGGAGGTGGCAAATGGCTCACTCGCCACTCGAGCGGGCGGCCTTGGCCTCCGACAGCTGCCCCACTCCAGATCCAGATACGGATTCAGATACCCAAGTATCCGAATCGTCTAAACAGAAACTGCAGTCCCGGCTTGCTCTTGTCCAAACAATCCCTAAAACGCTGCCTAAAAATAGTATCTACGGGCTGGCAATGTGTTAAACATCTTTTGGCGTTGACAAAATTGCATCGCAGCTGCCGCAATTACGAGATGTAGATGCATCGCGCGGCGAAAGTATCTGACGGATATGCATGCGGCGCGTGTGAGTCAATAGTAACAATAACAAAATCTCGATGGAGTGATGAGCGGGAGGAGGTGGAGGGGGAGATAGCAAACTATTGAGTGAGAGAAAGAAGAGAGTGCGGAGTCAGTTAATGAGAGCAAGCGAGAGAGTGAGAGGACCTTTAACAAAAAACTTGAATAAAAAGAGGTTTACTTTGAAATATAATACAAAAGGAGTATTTATGAGATAGGAAGAAGATTAGAAAATATTTTTTTTCATTAAGAATATTATTTTTAGTAAGTTATTGTTACAAAAGATATATAGGGAAAAGGTTGTCCAGTGCCAAGAGTATTCATTAAGCTTTATTTTAAATTTTTTCCCCTAACCATTTTGCAGGATTTGTTGTTAATTTAAATATTATTTCTTGACATATTTCCTAAAAACTAATTTTATTATTAGGGAAGAGGTTCCCTTGTTTAAAAAACCTCATATAACTTTTATTTAATTAATTTGTAATCCATTTATAAATGCTTTATTTACCCTGATAGAAAACACATCATTCTTCTTTTATTGTATACGTTTAATTTGTATAAACAAAACAAGAAAATAATGTAATCTCAATTGAATTTCCAATTGTTTGCTCTCCGTCAATGTTTACGTTTTTAATTTCACTCAAACTTCTTTCTCTTCCACTCAATCACTCTCTCTCGCGCTCTCAGGCTCTCTCTATTACCACCCAGCACTGTGGCGCCATTTGTTCCCGCAACGGCGGCGAAAGTAACTAGGAATGCCAAGCGAGAGCAAGAGCAAGAGAGCGGCGCCTGCGTTCGCTCGTATCTGCGAGATACTCCATCTGCCGAATACGAATCCGAGTAGCTACGAAACCAAGTATCTCGCCGCTGAAACCAACTGAGGGAAAATCCAGAGGCTCGAGTTTTCAGTGGCTGGCGAAGCTAAAGTCAGTCATATTCAAACTTCCATACCGAGCGGACGTGCGATTCGGATCGCGATTTCAGGTTGGAAAATAAGAAAAGTCAGAAAAATAAAACAAAAGAGAAATATAAAGCTGAAGTGAAAGAGAAATTCGGTGCGAAAGCAATGAAAATACAAAATACACCGGGAACAAAGTGCGCTTAGTGAGAGAAAACGCAAACGAAAACGAAAAGGCAACAAAAAAAGTAGAAAAAAGAGTGGAACGAAACAAAGTGTCGAGGAAAATGCCAGTTCCCAGTGTCCAAGTGGCCAAGTGAGAGTCCCACGAACGCGAACTACACCTTAGAGAATCCCTTCCCTTCGCGCCGCCACAAACCTCACAGAATGCCGCCGCCCGTCCTGCTGCTCCCGCTGCTACTCTCCTGGAGCTGTCTGGGATTGGGAGCGGTAGCGGTAGCGGGTGCCGGAGCGGTAGCGGCTTCCCAGGAGTCCAAGGGAGCGGACTCCTCCTCCAGTGCCAGTGCCAGCGCCATAATGGGCGCCGGTTCCGGGGCAGCCGCCACAGTATCGCTCTCCGGCGACTACTCCTCGCTGCTGTCCAATCCGGGACAGGCAGGTGGCCAGTCCGGCACCTCGCCAGCTCCCTCGGCGGCCGCAGTCCCGCCCAGCGGACCGGGCAACCAGTGCTCGTGGTCCTACAACGGCACCAGCTCGGTGCTCTGCTCCCTGCGCCTGATCGAACGCCAGCCGGGCCTGGATCTCCAGGGCGCCGATGGCAGTAGCCAGCTGAGCATCCAGTGCAGCGACCTGTACCTCTTCGAGTCCACGCTCCCGGTGGCCGTCTTCGCGCGCCTGCAGACCCTGGAGGCTCTGCGGCTGGACTCCTGCAAGCTGCTCCAGCTGCCCAACAACGCTTTCGAGGGCCTGGGCACTCTGAAGGTGCTGCACCTGAGCACCCGGAACGCGGAGTGGGGAGCCACGCGATCCCTGGAGCTGTTCCCCGACTCGCTCGGAGGGCTGAAGCAGCTGACCGAACTGGATCTGGGGGACAACAACCTGAGGCAGCTGCCCGCGGGCTTCCTGTGCCCGGTGGGCAACCTGCAGGTGCTGAATCTCACCCGTAACCGCATCCGCACCGCCGAGCAGCTGGGATTCGCGGACATGAGCTGTGCGGCAGCAGGAACAGGGAGTGCCGGGAGCGAGCTCCAGGTGCTGGACGCCAGTCACAACGAGCTGCGCTCTATAAGCGAAAGCTGGGGAATCTCGCGGCTGAGGAGGCTGCAGCACCTCAACCTGGCGCACAATAACCTCTCGGAGCTGTCGGGCGAGGCTCTGGCCGGACTGGCCTCGCTGAGAATCGTGAATTTAAGCAACAACCACTTGGAGACGCTGCCAGAGGGCCTGTTTGCCGGCAGCAAGGAGCTCCGCGAGATCCACCTGCAGCACAACGAGCTGTATGAGCTGCCACGCGGGCTGTTCCATCGTCTGGAGCAGCTGCTGGTGGTGGATCTGTCTGGCAACCAGCTGACCTCAAACCATGTGGACAACACCACCTTCGCGGGCCTAATCCGCCTGATTGTGCTGAACCTGGCTCACAACGCCCTCACCCGGATCGACTACCGCACCTTTAAGGAGCTGTATTTCCTGCAGATCCTAAACCTGCGCAACAACTCCATTGGCCATATAGAGGACAATGCCTTCCTGCCGCTGTACAACCTGCACACCCTAAATCTCGCCGAGAACCGGCTGCATACCCTGGATGACCGTCTTTTCAATGGCCTGTATGTGCTTTCCAAGCTGACGCTAAACAACAACTTAATCAGCGTGGTGGAGCCAGCGGTGTTCAAGAACTGCTCGGATCTCAAGGAGCTGGACCTCAGCTCTAATCAGCTGAATGAGGTGCCGCGGGCCCTGCAGGACCTGGCCATGCTGCGCACCCTCGACCTGGGCGAGAACCAGATCCGCACCTTCGACAACCAGAGCTTCAAGAATCTGCACCAGCTGACCGGGCTGCGGCTGATAGACAACCAGATTGGTAACATCACCGTGGGCATGTTCCAAGACCTGCCCCGCCTGAGTGTCCTTAACCTGGCCAAGAACCGCATCCAGAGCATTGAGCGTGGCTCCTTTGACAAAAATTTCGAGCTGGAGGCCATTCGGTTGGACAGAAACTTCCTCTCGGACATAAATGGGGTCTTTGCCACTCTGGTTTCGCTGCTCTGGCTGAATCTCTCCGAGAACCACCTGGTTTGGTTCGATTATGCCTTTATACCCTCGAACCTCAAGTGGCTGGACATCCATGGCAACTACATCGAGGCCCTGGGCAACTACTACAAGCTGCAGGAGGAGATCCGAGTCAAGACGCTGGATGCCTCGCACAACCGCATCACGGAGATTGGTCCCATGTCCATTCCAAACACCATCGAGCTGCTGTTCATCAACAACAACCTCATCGGCAGCGTGCTGCCCAATGCCTTTGTGGACAAGGCCAACTTGGCCCGCGTCGATCTCTACGCCAATCAGCTGAGCAAGCTCCAGCTCCAGCAGCTCCGTGTGGCTCCCGTGGTGGCTCCTAAGCCCCTGCCCGAGTTCTACTTGGGCGGGAATCCCTTCGAGTGCGACTGCACCATGGATTGGCTGCAGCGAATCAACAACCTGACCACTCGCCAGCATCCGCGTGTCATGGACATGGCCAACATTGAGTGCGTCATGCCTCATGCCCGCGGCGCTGCAGTGCGTCCGCTGGCGGCCCTGCGGCCTCAGGACTTCCTCTGCCGCTACGAGTCGCATTGCTTCGCGCTGTGCCACTGCTGCGACTTCGACGCCTGCGACTGCGAGATGACCTGCCCCAGCAACTGCACCTGCTACCACGACCAGATCTGGTCCACCAATGTCGTTGACTGCGGTGGCCAGCAGACCACGGAGCTGCCGCGTCGTGTGCCTATGGACTCCAGTGTGGTTTACTTGGATGGCAACATTTTCCCAGTGCTAAAGAACCACGCCTTCATCGGGCGGAAGAACCTGAGGGCGCTGTATGTGAACGGCAGTCAGGTGGCGGGCATCCAGAACCGCACCTTCGCCAGCCTGGCCTCGCTGCAGTTGCTCCACCTGGCCGACAACCGGCTGCGCACGCTGCATGGCTACGAGTTCGAGCAGCTCTCCGCCTTGAGGGAGCTCTATCTGCAGAACAACCAGCTGACCACCATTGAGAACGCCACCCTGGCCCCGCTGGCCGCCCTGGAGCTGCTCCGCATCGATGGCAATCGCCTTATGACTTTGCCCATCTGGCAGCTCCATGCCACACACTTTGGCTCCCGACTGCGCTCCATCAGCCTAGGCAGAAATCCCTGGAGCTGCCGCTGCCAGTTCCTGCAGGCCCTCACAGCCTATGTGGCGGACAACGCTTTGATTGTCCAGGATGCTCAGGACATCTACTGCATGGCAGCCGGAGGCGGAAGCTCTGGAATGGATTTAAGCTCCTCCTCAATCGATGAGGGATCTCTGGAGAAGAGGGAACTGGATTTCAATGCCACAGGAGCCGCCTGCACGGACTACTATTCCGGTGGATCCATGCTGCAGCACGGCATTCCCGAGTCGTACATCCCACTCCTGGCTGCTGCCCTGGCTCTGCTCTTTCTGCTGGTGGTCATTGCCATGGTCTTCGCCTTCCGGGAGTCGCTGAGAATCTGGCTGTTTGCCCACTACGGCGTGCGGGTGTTTGGACCGCGATGCGAGGAGTCTGAGAAGCTCTACGATGCCGTGCTCCTGCACTCGGCCAAGGACTCGGAATTTGTGTGCCAGCATCTGGCTGCCCAGCTGGAAACGGGACGACCTCCCCTGCGGGTCTGCTTGCAGCACCGAGACTTGGCCCACGACGCCACCCACTACCAGTTGCTGGAGGCCACTCGAGTCTCGCGGCGCGTGGTGATCCTGTTGACCCGGAACTTCCTTCAGACCGAGTGGGCCCGCTGCGAGCTGAGGCGCTCCGTGCACGATGCCCTGCGAGGAAGGCCTCAGAAACTGGTGATCATCGAGGAGCCGGAGGTGGCCTTCGAGGCGGAGAGCGATATTGAACTGCTGCCTTACCTCAAGACCTCGGCAGTGCACCGCATCCGCCGCTCGGACCGCCACTTCTGGGAGAAGTTGCGCTACGCCCTGCCCGTGGACTACCCCACTTTTCGGGGCAACAACTACACCCTGGAGCTGGACCACCACAACCACGAGCGGGTGAAGCAGCCAGCCAGTCCTGGACTGCTTTACCGCCAGGCTCCGCCACCCGCCTACTGCGGTCCGCCAGAAGGAGCGCCGCCGCAGGGAGGAGCCGTGGTCACAGCATCGGTGCCAGCGGAGCAGAACTACTCCACGGCCACCACAGCCACGCCGAGTCCCAGGCCACAGCGCAGGGAGCAGCAGCAGGGATCCGGGTCAGGATCTGGCTCGGGAACGGGAGGCCATCATCTGCATGCCCAGTACTACCAGCATCATGGGATGCGGCCGCCCTCGGAGCACATCTACTCCAGCATCGACTCGGACTACTCGACCCTGGACAATGAGCAGCACATGCTGATGATGCCGGCAGGTCACGGGTTGGAGGCTGCTCAAAGGGCACAGACCTGGAGGCCCAAGCGGGAGCAGCTGCACCATCAGCAGGCCCAGGCCGGCACCCTGGGCTCCAAGGCAAACCAGCAGCAGCAGCAACAGCAACAGCAGCAGCAGCAGCAGCAACACCAGACAGTGTCCAGTGGCCAGCAGCAGGGACCGCATGTCCAGGCGTATCTGGTGTAAGAGCGAGAGCATTCCCCTGCCGGAATGATGACAGTGATTTCTTTAGGGACTGGTTCCTGTGCATAATTTTAATTACTAAAATATGTGCGAGTTAAGCTAAGAGCAAGCGGGGAGGGGCAGCAGGATGGCAGCAGGATTTTAACGTATATTACTTTGTTTATCCAGTGTAAAGTCATTTTAGATGCACTAAGCCAACACACAGAACAGGGCAGAGCAGCGCACAAGATACAGATACGAGTGTCGGGCGGCATACCAGATACAGATGCAGGCGGTCATGTCAGGGTGGTGTTGCTACAATGCCATCTCAAAGTTTCCCAACTAATTTTCCTCCTCCTTAAACACACGCACACTCACTCTACTCGTATGAACTCGAACCCGAACTCGAACTCGAACTTGCTCTGGCCTGGCATTTGCTTAGCCAAGAATTGCTCGAGGGGGAATTTGTGATAACTTTTTAATATGGTTTTAATCAGTTGGACGCAGGAATAAGGATTTCCAGGCAGTAGAATTTCAAGCTATAATCCAACTGCTCCTGTGTCTGTGTGTTCGTTCTGTGCCCCCATTAATTTGTAAATAGCCACACGCCGTATTTACTGCCCAAACATAACGTAGATAGGTATAGAGAGAGCGACACATACACCTCCGCAGCGCATAGATACAGATACATAAACTGAAACAGATACAGATACAGATACAGCTACAGTAACCGTATGGATAATTCAATAATCACATCCCAGAACACATGTAAATTGTATGCCACAGAGCCCCGCAGTGAAATCGATAAATGCATTTGTCAAGTAATCCCAGCCGTATGTAAAAAGCATTAATAATTAGCCAGGGAAGGAGATTCATAACCATATGCAGAAAAGCTCATTTTAAACACTTACGCTTACCAAAACTAACGATAATTGTAACAGAGGTCTCGCAGGCTGCGCGGCTCACTCCATACACCATATGCATAGCTAATTATATATAGTACATATATATACATATATTCATGGATATATCAATGTGCGTGTCTGCATGTACGTGACTGTGTAAAGAAAAGCAAACTAACTGATATTAAAGAACTACTATGTGTATGCGGTATGCGAATATGTATCCGCCAGTACGTATATCTTACGAATATATTATACGAGTAAATGTTTAACAACTGCCTATAGAACGTACTCGAAACTCGTACTCGTACACGAGAGCATTTATTTCAGCACACTCGCCTACTCGTCATTAATTAAGCAAGTCCAGAGATTCAGATAACCGGATATATAAATGGATTACCGATCCAGTAAGACACTTGTACCAGTATGAAAGCCCAAAACTGTTATTTATTTTTATCATTTTGTAATATACGCGAGAGAGATCAGCCCTAAGTTTAGTTCTAATGCAGCTCTACGATATATGTATAACCTATGGATAATTCAATTTTGTGAATACAACTATTTATATACTATATATATATATACATCTAAATCTATGTACGATTACGACAAACAACAACAAAGATATTTTTCTGTTTCGCCAGCGAACAATGCAAATGAAATGAACAACTTTTTTAAAACAAAAACAAAGTGAAGTGTTTCTGGGATTGGGCTTCGATTATGGCCTGTGGCCAGGGCAATTGGTCTTCCATTTCCATTTCCATTTCCAGCTGGCTTTTTGCTAATTTAATTCATCATGCACATGAGTTGCTGTTTTGTAATCCTCACGCATTGTCAGGGGCTTCGGCGGAGGAGGGACTCCGGCGGCCCGTCAAAGTCAACGTTTGCTCCGCTCCGCACAGCTCAGAGTGATAAATCATTTTTTGTTTTCTATACAGTTTACTATATACATATCTACTTGAAGCGACACACAAATGCGCAGCATACACAAATCACCCCCTTTGCCACGACGCTGTCCATCACGGAGCACATAGCGCCTCTCACCCGGGTTTCTTGTCTATCTGTCTGGCGGTTAAATGATGGCTGTTTCCCTCTGAAGGGTAACACTCGCACTCGCACTCGCACTCGTACCTAGTCGAGCATTATACGCGTCTGGAGTGGATTTCTATGACGCTTTTGGCATTTATGCCAAACCAAGCCGGGCTCAAGTGCCTGTCTCCCAGGCCAAGTGCAAAGTGTTGGCCCAAAGAGCTGGAGTTAAAGATGGAACTGGAGTTGGAGCCTGACTCTGGAGTTGGTTCCAGCAGATGTAAATAGTGGTGAAACAAATCGAGGAGCTACGTCCTCCAGTATCTCAATTTCTCAGTCAATTTCGATAGCAATACATTCCGGGACAAAGAGCAGGGAAAACAAGAAGAAAAGCTTAAGGCAAGACACGACTAGGAGATACTCTTAGTAAAGTTTCTAAGCTTGGATTTTGTTTCCATTAATATTCTAGTTAATTTTGTATATAAATTGCTTTAAAATGCTTAACACATTACGAAAGATCTGTTTCTATATATCTTTTTTAATTTTGTAAAATATTTTTACCACTTTCCCATAAATATGTATACCCTATTTCTGCATACCCTCACTTACTGCAAGTATCAAGTACGAAAAAAAGGGGGAAACCCATTTAAAAGCCAAGAAGGGGAACTGCTTTTTCCCCCTAACCCAAACCTCGCCCTAAAAACCCTATTGACTGCAACTGGCAAAGTTTTTTAATTTGCTTTTATTGAGGTGGCTCTTCCCTCTTCCTCTCCGCACTGCACAACTTGTATCTAATAGATTTACAGACCCGGCAAAGAAACAATGCCACACATTGCGTATCTGTATCTAGATACAAATGCCGAAAGACAAGGGCAACAACAGCCAGTAGTAGCTACTGCAATGCAATCGACGAGCGGAAAGGCATTGGGGGAAAAATCGGAAGCCCTAGTTAAGGAATTTTTGGGAAATTTCATTTAACAATTTCTTAATTGTTTGCAGATACGCATCTGCTGCTGTCGAGTCGGCAGTCAGCAGTCAGCAGTCGTCTCTGGGGAGGGTTTTCCCCAGCTTTTCTGGGGCATTTCCCCGCAAAATCAATACGGCCAGTTCTTTAAATCAAGCCAAAGGAAGCTAGGGCGGCCGTTGAAGAGATATTTCATATTGCCTGATCAAAATTCAATACGTGTTGCAAATATCGAATTTCCATCAAAACAGAAACAAAACAAAACAGTCGTAAAAAACATCGAGGGTTGCTCTCTCATATATGTATGTGCCGTGGGGGGGTAAAAAAAATAATATAGGATATATGTACACATCGGCCTCCGTTTCGCTTATTATGATAATAAATTTTTATGCTGCAAGGAATAAAGGAGAGTGCAGGGAAAAATTAAATAAAAAAGTACGAGTATCAGGCACTGGCAGGAGTCGAGTCGGCCCAAAGTGAATTAAATTGAATTGAAAACTGTTTCCCAATAAAAGGAAAGGGCGCCACTTCAGGGGCAAGTTTAAATGTCGGACCCTACACTGGCAATCAAATTATTTAAATGTAATAAAAAAGGTCCGGCCAAACATTTGCCTTGGCATTTGCCAGGCAAAACTTTGTACTGTCAAATGTGGGCCAGTCACTCAGATTTCCTCAATGTCAGTACATAGATATAGTATATATGTATATATACAGCATTTCCATTTTACCGCACACTCACATAGAAATTCCGATACATAGGCAAGTGGGAAAACGCTTTTCGTCACGTTTTTGTCGGTAGAGCGCACAGAAATAGGCAAATAAATCTGTGCGAGCAGCGGGAAAATTGAAACGAAATGCTTGGTCAGGCTTTTCCACTATATACTATATTATATATGTATGTATATACGTGTGTGTTGGCCACAATTTTCATTTTCTAGCTGATAAACAACGACGCCAAGGTGATAAGTTCATTCTGACAGCTTGCAAATCAAAGTGTCTCCTGGCTTTTATTTCTGTTTTTATATATCTTTTGCTCACTTTTACTTCGGGGAAAATCAATTTGGCCCCCAGACAATGATTGAAGTTTTTTGCGTGGGCCCCCAGCCAGGCCCACATATATTTTTCTTTCTGAGGCAAAACACACTCGTAGGTCACCTTTAATTATATTTGCCTGAATTGAGCAATGTTATTATTATGACATGATGGCCCAAGTGTTTGGAAAATCTAAATGGATATTTGAGGAATTGTAGGCTCAATTAATTTCAATATATTCTATATTATTTCTAGGAAGGCCAATGGGCCATAAAAACGAAATAATATATATCATAAAAAGTTGTATACTGAAGCAATATTCAACCTTAAATTGAGTTGAAAATTCCCTTTATTTACAGCATTTATAATACCTAATGTTGGGTTCTAAAATTGCCTGTCTGAAGTCAACATAATTAACCTTTTTTAGCCGCCGTTGGAAAAGTTTTTGCCTGTATTTATAATAAGCTCTATAATGCGGCCAGAACGCAAATGTCACAAGTGCCAGCCAACGAATTGCTCCAGCAGCTGTGCGGGGCCACATAGATACCATACATATCCTCCTCGAGTACACGAGTGTTCGAGGAGGATACATATATGTGGGTTTGTCATAATTTCACGTCCATTGTCAGCGTTTATTCAGCATGGCGGCAGGACGTAGCGGGACAGAAAGGACAAAGGGGACAGCCGACGACATTTATGCTTTATCCTGGCTGGTGCGGTGCCCATTGTCGTTGTTATTTTTGTGGGGCGTAATTATTTGTTTTGGCTTGCCGGGTTCATTTACTCCACCGAAAAGAAAATACCCCAAAGGAGTCACACTCCGGTTGTATGTATTTTGCATGTGCCGCTCGCTCGGCTTGTTTTCCCGTGTTTTCCTGTGTGTTTGTTCACATGTGTTTTAATTTCTGTTTGTTTGTTGTTTTCCACAACAGCAACAATAACAATAGCAACAATAAAAAGTAGCCTGAGACTGTGTGTTTTTGTTGTTTCAGTGCCACACATATTGCCCACTCGGCGTGGGTTCAAACAATTACGAATTATGGCCCAGTTCCACTTGCCGTTTAGGGTTACCTTTCTTAATTGTTTTTCCTGCGACGTATTTTCAAGTGAGATCCCCAGGAAACTATTTATCTTGCCTCCTCAGCGAGGAGCAGCGGGGAAAATCAATAACCCAAAAAGCTTTAAAGTCAAAGGAGAGCCTGGGTTAGCCGGGAAAATCGAGCAGGAAAAACCGGTTTAATGAGCCGGCTGGCTTGCTGCCTGATGGACGCCTTGCACGCAACGACACCAAACATGTCCTGTGCTTATTAAATTTCGTGAGCAAGTGCCGAAGGACTAAAGGCACCAAGAGTTGCACTTGGAAAAACTCTATATAATCAATAGAAATGTCATGCTAAATCAAGAGTTATAAAGGCACACTGCTTTCTCTCTGTGCAGCCGTAGAAGTTGCAGCCGGAGAAATGCCAACAAAGCAAAGCCGGGGAACGTCAGGATATTAAGGACACTGGCCGGGAAGAGGGCATAAAAAGCAACGACTTGGTCACGACCAAATAAGATGGAAGACAATTCAATTGAAAAAAAATCAACGATCGATAATCTTTACCACTGACCGCACACACGGACTCTCTCCGGCAGTCTTGGTTCTTAAAGAGCCTCTGCCTCTGCCTCTGCCTCTGCTCCAGTTCTTCAATTCCAGACCTTCAGAGCTGTCCTTGCCTCCGTGCTCCATTTACATGTTTATCGGAGCCGCCTTTCGTTCCTTTTCTACTTCTGTGCGTTGGCAACTTGAGCGTGTGCTTTTTAATTCGCCTTACTTGCTGCCAAGTGGCCCAGAGTCGGGGCACAGCTTCCTTAATTTTGTTTGACTTCGGCTAAAGTTTAATGATGGACTACTAGGGGCTGCACAGGCCATGGAAGATGAGTCAACGCTCTGGAGAGTTATACTCAAGTGCTTTGTAATCGACTGCAATCAACACGAGGCTTAGTCAGGAGCCAAGGATATAATGGTGATGCGATTATGGGGCACTCGCTTAGGGAGTTTTATATAATAGTTTAGTTAATTTTAACTAGGGAAAGTCAAGGAAAAGTCCTTAAAGGGTTGGTATTTGCAAGCAGCTAACTTAAGATTTAATAAATAAATAATATTTTAAAATTCAAAGAGTGAAATTTGAGATATCTTTTTGAGAGACTACAAACAAGAAGAGTATAATCCGCAGTTAAAGATTATTTAAGCCTCCCTTTAATCATTATTTAAATGTAATCATAGATAAGATATAAAGAGTGGAATGCAGGTTGTATAGGGTCTCTCTTTCGGGTGCCTTAATCCCATTTACCCAGATGATTATCCGGCACTGCAGCTCATTATCTTAGTTTTTGGCCCGGAGGCGTTCTCGAAACACACACAAAAATACGAGTCTTCGGCAGCAACTGGAGTACACACACGTGCACTCCCTTAGTTTTAAGTAAACAAGGAAGTAATTAACATTTTCGGGCATTTCTTCAGTGTTCGCCTCCTCCTGGCCCAGCAGCTCGTTTCTACTTCATTTACTTTGCTTACTCAAATTTCGGGGCCAGCCTATTTACATGAACAAAAACTTTTACTTTAGGGTTTTTTCCCGGTTTTTTTTTTGATGTTGTTTGTCGCAGCCCTGGGGCTGCACT